ATGGAATAGGTAATAAGTTACTAAATGCTGTAAAGAGTTTTTATGAGGACAGTGAGGCTCAGGTTAGGGTGTGTAGAAGAAAGGGAGACTACATCCCGTTACAAGTAGGTTTTAGACAGGGATGTGTAATGTCACCATGGTTGTTTAATATATTTATAGATGGGGTTGTGAAAGCAGTAAATGCTAGGGTGTTGGGGAGAGGGGTGGGATTAAATTATGGGGAATCAAATACAAAATAGGAATTGACACAGTTACTTTTTGCTGATAATGCTGTGCTTATGGGAGATTCTAAAGAAAAGTTGCAAAGATTAGTGGATGAGTTTGGGAGTGTGTGTAAAGGTAGAAAGTTGAAAGTGAACATAGAAAAGAGTAAGGTGATGAGGGTATCAAATGATTTAGATAAAGAAAAATTTGATATCAAATTGGAGGAGGAGGAGGAGGAGGAAAAGGAGGAGGAGGAGGAGGAAAAGGAGGAGGAGGAAAAGGAGGAGGAAAAGGAGGAGGAGGAGGAAAAGGAGGAGGAGGAGGAAAAGGAGGAAAAGGAGGAGGAGGGAAAAGGAGGAGGAGGAGGAAAAGGAGGAGGAGGAGGAAAAGGAGGAGGAGGAAAAGGAGGAGGAAAAGGAGGAGGAGGAGGAGGAAAAGGAGGAGGAGGAAAAGGAGGAGGAGGAAAAGGAGGAGGAGGAAAAGGAGGAGGAAAAGGAGGAGGAAAAGGAGGAGGAGGAAAAGGAGGAGGAGGAAAAGGAGGAGGAGGAAAAGGAGGAGGAGGATGAGGAGGAGGAGAGAGGAAAAGGAGGAGGAAAAGGAGGAGGAGGAGGAAAAGGAGGAGGAGGAGGAGGAGGAGTATGGATGAATTGAATGTTTTCAGATATTTGGGAGTTGACATGTCAGCGGATGGATGAATGAAGGATGAGGTTAACCATAGAACTGATGAAGGAAAAAAGGTGAGTGGTGCATTGAGGTATATGTGTGGAGACAAAAATCATTATCTATGGAGGCAAAGAAGGGAATGTATGAAAGTATAGTGGTACCAACACTCTTATATGGGTGTGAAGCTTGGATTATAAATGCTGCAGCAAAGAGGTGGTTGGAGGTGGTAATGTCCTGTCTAAGGGCAATGTGTTGTGTAAATATTATGCAGAGAATTCAGAGTGTGGACATTAGGTGGTGTGGAGTTAATAAAAGTATTAGTCAGAGGGCTGATCAGGGGTTGTTGAGGTGGTCTGGTCAATTAGAGACAATAGATCAAAGTAGAATGACATGGAGAGCGTATAAATCTGTAGGGGAAGAAAGGCGGTGGGGTAGGGGTCATCCTCGGAAAGGTTGAGGAAGGGAGTAAAGGAGGTTTTGTGGGCGATGAGCTTGGACTTCCAGCAAGCATGCGTGAGCGTGTTAGACAGGAGTGGATGGAGACGAATGGTATTTGTTACCTGACGAGCTGTTGGAGGGTGAGCAGGGTAATATTCAGTGAAGGGATTCAGGGAAACCGGTTATTTTTATATAGCCAGACTTGAGTACTGGAAATGGGAAGTACAATGCCTGCACTCTACAGGAGGGGTTTGGGATATTGGCAGTTTGGAGGGATATGTTGTGTATCTTTATACAGTGGAACCTAAAAAATCGAACTTAATCCGTTCCAGGAGCTAATTATAAATTTGAAAAGTCTGAAATTCGAAGCAATATTTCCCACAAGAAATAATGGAAATACAATTAATCCATTCCAGAAACCCAAAAATATTCACACAAAAAATACATTTTATAGAGATTAATTACAGTTTTACATACAACAAATACTATAGTTTTTAATTATGTATAGTAATACATATAAAATAACATTTTTACTTACCTTTATTGATGATTGGTGATGGCATCTGGAAGATAGGGAGGAGGAGAGAGGGAGTTGGGGTTAGTGTTTGGAAGGAGAATCCCCCTCCATGAGGACTTCAGATAAAGCCCTCCCATGGGTTACTTCCCTTCTCTGTCTTTTAATGCCAGTAGGACCAGCTTGAGGGTCACTGGACCCCTGTCTCACAAAATAACTGTCCACAGTCCTCTGTTTCTAGCGCCTCTAACATTTCCCTAAAATGGGACTTGGTTCTGTCACTGAACTTGTTGCAAAGATGGCTTGTTTCAGCTTGCTCAGGGTGGTACTTCTGCACAAACATTTGGACATCATTCCACTTGGCACAAATCTCCTTAATCTTTGAAGAGGGCACCTCGTCCACTCCCTATATTAACACCTTTCCCAACATCAGCTTCCTTGATTTATTCTTTCTTTGACAGGATAGAACCAATGGTCGACTTGTCTTTCACATACATCCTGGCAAGCTCTGTACTATTTCCTTCTTCACATCTATGGTGTTTCTCACTTTCTTTACCACAGGGGTACCACTAGCAAGTTTCATTGCTCCCATTGTAGCTTATTTCACACTCCCACAAGCACTAAACACAATGAAATAATCATAAAATGCGTGAATGAGAGCACAGGTTAGTGTTCACTCAAGCATTAACAAAGCTAGACTGCTCACGGCGCTTGTGCGGGGACACAGGTGGCAGACAGGTCCTGTACCCGGCGGTCCGAAAAGAGGGGTGCGTTCGATAATAGACACACAGTTTGTCCGAAAAAATGGTCCTATTTTCGAAATGTTAGATAAGTGATACGTTCGATTTTTGAGGTTCCACTGTATGTGCTTCTAAACTGTTGTATCTGGGCACCTCTGCAAAAACAGTGATTATGTGTGAGGTGAAAGTGTTGAATGATGATGAAAGTATTTTCTTTCTGGGGATTTTCTTGTTTTTTTGGGTCACTCTGCCTAGGTGGGAGACAGCCGATTTGTTGAAAAACAAAAAAAATACATATCCTACCCTAAGAAAAATAAAACATGTTGTGTATCTTTATACGTATATGCTTCTAAACTGTTGTATTCTGAGCACCTCTGCAAAAGCAGTGATAATGTGTGAGTGTGGTGAAAGTGTTGAATGATGATGAAAGAATTTTCTTTTTGGGGATTTTCTTTCTTTTTTGGGTCACCCTGCCTCGGTGGGAGACGACCAACTTGTTGAGAAAAAAAAAAAAAAAAAAAATGAAGTTAATAATATGCATACCATTTATATTAGAAATTCCCATTTATACAATATTCATACAAACAAACAAACGAGCGAGTGCACAGGCACACAGCATAATAATTTCCTAAGACAAAAGAATAATCTTTAATTAATTCATTATATACTAAAATAACCCATTTTTTTTTTAAACACTAACTAATAGACAAATAAAATTTTCTTATGAATATACCTACATTAATGTAGTGATTTTCATCAATTTTTATATCAGATTTACTCAACACTTTTGACAATAATACAAATCAGTTTTAACAATTTCAATTTAACATTGGAATAATTTACAGATTTGAGCAATTCGAAATGTTACATAACGGAAATTCTGAATTTTCAAATGAATAATGAATTCAAGACATTTTGGTATAAATATTAACTTAAAAGAAATAATTTGAGTAACAAACTCTTTAAAATTCCTTCACAACTATTGTATAATTGTCATAATTGCTATATTTTAAGTGCTGGTATAAAGACCCCTTTTAAAATTAAGCATAACCACTCTAAAATAGGTTAAGACAAATAATTCAAACTCAAAATCAATATTGTATTAACTTAATTTGAATTTTAGCATACTGTACTTAAAAACATATCAATGTAAATTGTTTAAAATTAATAGCAGGTAGGGTTAGTGCATCACTGCCATCATGCTTTTCAATTTGTAACACTGTACCTTACAATACTAAGCCCATCTATAACCTTCTACCTCCATACACTTCCCAGTCAATATTTTCCTCCTTTTAGGCTCAACTGCTTCAGTTTGCCACGTATATCATGCAGTTCCTACCTCGACTTTCTTATAAAGCTGAGCCCTTCGTTCAGTATCGCGTTTAATTTCATCTTCCAGGCGCTGTATTTGATCCTGCTTCGACTTGACAGCCTTGTTGAGAGACCTGAGCAGAAGGACAGAGGACGGAACAGGGAGGGGAAGGGAGGGGGAAAGGGCAATGAGACAAATACCTGAATGTTAATGATGATGCCACAGGGTCATGATTCTTCCCTATAATGCTAGTATTGATGATGATGATAGAAATGAGTGCGTGTAGTGTTCATTGGTGAGCAGTGAATATCTGGATAATAAATGGTCAGGTAGGAAAAAAAAAAAAAAAAAAAAGGTCAAGAGGCACTGGGTTTAGAAGGTTGATGTCCATACTTGCTAGTTTAACAAGCCTGGTTAACTGAAGATATTAGTCGGTTCTTTCATGCACTGTTCATGTCCTGAAGGTAAACCGAAGGGAAACATGCAACATTTTCACTAATGTGTGTGTCATGACATGTATGACAATACATTTTCCCACAAACATTCAGACATAAAATGCTAAAGAAGATAAAAGCAGTAATTGGAGGTTATTCAAGCAAACACCAGGCTTTTTTTTATAAATAAAATTCAGTGAAAGTTGACAGGAGAGCAGAATTAAAAGGTATTCTCAAGCGTAGGTTTAAATGTACACCAGATCACAAAGTGTTCGTCTATTGACTGTATATTGCTCAATATAAACAAATTGCCTATGTACCAACTTCAAATGTACTAACCTGTTATTATGTATAGAGTAAAATGTACTTCACCACTTACCTTGTTAATCCTCTGGGAGACTTCAAATGACTTGTACTGTATTAAGGCAAACTATCATTTTGTTACAATTTTTACACGAAACCACAATACTTAACAACTTTAAATACCGTAAACCTCAATAAAAATATTAATTTAAAAACAACTGACAAAAATGATAGTCTGCCTTGAAATGCTGAACATCTTCACATTATGTGATTCAATTAACCACACATACCAAAGCCTGGGCCTTCATACCCAAAAATGCTAAATATGCACGACACCAATGGCCAAACACCAAGGCATCTTATCCCTGGCATTACTACAGGAAAATACCAACCTGTAATCGTTTCTCTAATTCTTTGTTCCGTTCCCCATCTCGATTTATCTCTTCATCAAGCCGCCTGATTTGGTCCTTTTTTTCACCCATCGCGCGTTCTATCGATCTGCAACAGGGAAGAAGAAAGGGACTAGAATACACTGCCTCTTGTATGGGCCTTGCATCTCTTTCTTTCTCTCTGGCACCGAACCCCAACAAAGGGGGAGGGCGAGAACTTTCTCTCTCAAGTAGTTAATAGAAATATCTTTGTATTCATGAACGCAAATATGAACGTTTAAGTCCCTTTCTCCAACCCTTTCAGACCACGGGTGAACATTCGAATTACTAATTCTTTAAACTACCTATTGGGGGGTAAGGATGCTTCTGTTACTGACCAATGGTTATGAACCTCGAGTAGTCTTCAACATTGTAGGATTCCATACACTTCAAATATGACATCCTTTTTGTAGCTAATTTAAAAGCTATCTACTCATCAATCAATAATCACCTGTGAATTATAAAGTGCACTGTGCATCAGTGATGCCCCAGGTAACTAGCACCTTAAGTGTCTTATGCTGCAATACTACATCCTGTAGTAGAAAAATAAGACGAAGAACGTAATAATCCCAAAGATGGAATAGCAAACCAAGGTTCTTCATCCATCTTTTGAGCAATGGAATAGATCAGGAAAAATCGTTTCACTACTTCCTCATAGTGACGAGTCCAGAGTGAACCACACATGTTCAAGCTCATCCATATATTAATCAGACCATTTTGCCAAATCAACATTATTCTGGAAAGCATTAACCTCTTTTAGAGAATATTAACGCTATCTTTTAGAGGTGAGAGTAACGTGTGAAAAAATGAAAACCCCCAAAAGGTTGTTTTATTATCTTGTTTTAACAAGATGTATCACAATAATTTAGCATTTTTATTTTCATTTTAACAAATAACTTTACCCTTGCTTTTCCTATCTGTTGCTGAAAGGGCTGAAAAATTGGGGAATGGACAAAGCAAAAGGCTGCAAGACAAGGACATGACAAGAACAAGACACAAAGTCCACCCTGGAACTCTTAGTCAGACAGAAGCAGTAAAGCACATGCAAGTAACCATGCAGTTCAGCAAGCAAAAGGTTCAACTACTTTGTCTACTATAAGTTACCAATGCTGTTTTATTAAAAATTTATTTAACTTACCTTAACACAACAACAAACTCCTGGAATGGCAGATCCTGGATAGGCTTCCTTGTAAGAGTTCTTAAACTAAACAGTTACAGGAACTTCTGAGTGAATATTTGACATCCAAATACAGTCAGGCAATAAGTTTTCATTTTTCATCTTTACTTAACCAAAAGCAAAAAACATTATAGTATGTATATATACAAATATTTCTCACATTCTCAAAAATGCATTTGAACAAAAATATTTCAAACCAAATAGTATAATGGTACAATTTAAAAAGTACTGTAGTAGTTCAAAATAACCTTTACTTATATTTACAGAAATAAGGCTACATGTATTGTTGACCAAGTTCATCAGTATTTTGTGTAACAAGCAATCTAGTGTATAATGTAAATTCTAAATTTTAATTATGTTACAACAATACAACCATTTATGAGTAATCAACACATACAGAACTTAGTTTTAAGTATAGTACTGTATTTCTGTCATTTCTATTAAAAAAAATTCAATTTGAAATTGTTCTCTACAGATGGTTTAAAACTTTCTTATCCAGTATTTTTTATTAACTTTTGCATTATATCTTCACTTCTTTTACCTATCAAATAGGTCAGTTCCAACACCTTTTACCTTTCTTCATAAGTAACATTTTTTTTTATATTGTGAAGTATGAATGGATGTACTGTAGAACCAATAAATTTTCTTTTAAAAGGTTGCAATTTTGACTTTCAGCATACAAAAAATTATTTACTGCTGTGCTTTCTATACATTTACAGGCAATATATAATTATCATAACCCAGTGAACTTGCTGAATATGAACCCAAATATGACATAACACCAGATGAATACCAATCTGTCAAAGCAACCAGTGCTAAGTTAGTGGACAGTATGTTACTGACTGAACAGATGTCAAAACAACTTTACATCTCATTTAAGCCAAATTTTTCATGGGGACATGTAACTCCACCGTATTTATACCTTCAAATCTGTACCAAAATTCAGTTTTTAGCAAGTAGCCAAGCATTGTCGATTACTGTTCTTGCTCTGAAGAGGTGTCTGTAAAGTACAATTATGAATCCTCCTTCAGTAATCTGTCTTTCTCTACCTTGTCTATTACTTGGAATATTATATTTGTGAACTATCCACCTGTTATGCTCCATGGGAGTAATAACTTGTTAGCAGTAAGAGAGCAATACTTAATGTCCCACTTTCCTCAATTTATCACCACACACACATTAAATATACTCTGGTTGTGGCACCCAATACTTTGACACTATCACAGTCATCTATTATACTGGAAAGTACTACCTTCTTTGAGTCTCTGCATGTATCCAAAAAATAGCAAAGACAAAGCTCTGTCATTGTTTGAAGGTAACATTTCTAAATTTCAGAATCTAATTTGTTGCACTTTTTTTATTGTTGCTGCTGCTATTGTTTGTAAACAATTTCTGCTATTTCTGTACGTATATTGAAACTATTCATGTGTGTGAACTTCTGGTGGTAATTCTCAAAATCAATTTCCATTACATATTTTCCATCATCATTCTCCATTATCATTCCACAAGCTTAATTTTTTTTCCAATACTGGCAGATAAAGATGATTTTTTTCAATATTTAATACTGGTGCTTGTGACACTGATTATATTACACTTCACTTCTACTTTTGATTGGTTTTATTTGCTTTTCCTATTTTCATTCTTGCCAAGAGTTTACTCACCTGTTTATTCATTATCAAGTCCATCAGGTACATTGCATAAAGATGCATTTAAGAAAGGTCTTGCTGTGAGGTGCATTGGTAATGGTACTGCCTTCACTGTCACATTGGAGCTTGAGTTCAAGGCACCTTCATCCTTATTTTTGATATATACTTTTTAAAAGATAGCTTGTCTTTAGTTATTAAGAGCAGTTCTAATCAGCCCTTCATTCCTACAATTTCTTTAGTTTTCTACAATTTAGGAAAAAGATTAACACAGGTATATATTTTTTTGGAAAAAACAAATCCCACCACACCAAGAATCCATCAGTATTAATATATATTAATATATATTCGAGGAAAGTGAGTGAAATGTCTTTTCACAATCTATTCCTTAAGTGCAAGGAATGTACAGTATATCTCAACTAAACTACAGGTATATTTTACAAGTACCACTATATACTCTGAAAGACTTGACACACACACACTTGCCTTCTTTTCATAATTCTTTAGTACCATTTCCCAAAGGATTCTACTGACTTTCTGAAAGGTCATAAATCTCACCAAAGTATTAGTCATTTCAAAGCATACACAATGATGATTTGTGTAAATTAGCTCAAGTTAAAAAAAAAAAAAAAAAAAACTCCAAGAAACAAAAGTGGCAGAATAAAAAAAAAAGTAACGAGGTAGGTAAAAACCTGACTATACGCCCATATACGCCCAAGAGACAACGAGGAATTGCAGTGAAACATTTAATTACTTCCATCCATGAGCTTGGGTCGTTTCTACGGCAAAAATTTTTCATAAAAAAAAGAGCTACGGGTTCCCCAAAACGTAAAAAAATATAATTCCAATATTCTCCATATACAGGTATAATATACCATTTATCAATCAGTATTTGTCTATGGCAACATTACATCCTAATCTACAATTCAGAACCACAAGCTTCACAAAAATATCAGTCTGATTGAAAAAACTGGGTTCTTTTCTAAAGGCCTTTCTTGTTTTAAATAAACCAAAATGCAATCAAGGAAATTCCACATTTTTGTCTCAATAAAACACCTCTAACAGCTAAAATTCACATCCCAAAATCTTTCATAATTTTCTGAATTCTAAATACATAAATACAAAATAAAAAAATAAATAAATAAATAAATAAATAAATAAAAAAATATATATATATAATTATATAAAAATAATATAAATAATATATATAATATATATTTATATTTGTACTTCTAGACGTTGTATTCTGAGCACCTCTGCAAAAACAGGATAATGTGCGAGTGTGGTGAAATGTTGAATGATGACGAAAGTATTTTCTTTTTTGGGGTTTTTTTTTCTTTTTTGGGCACCCTGCCTCGGGGGAGACGCCGACTTGTTGAAAAAAAAAAAAAAAAAAAAAAAAATTTTTTTTTTTTTTTTTTATTTTCACACCCCCATTCCACCAAGGCAGGGGGCCCCAAAAAAAAAAACTTTCACCCTCATTCCCCCACACTGTCTTTCCAGAAGGGTGCTTACCTACAGTTTTTTTAAATGCAACATTAACACCCCTCCTTCAATGCAGGGACTTACTTCCCCTCTCCAGAACTCAAGTCCGGGGCCCGCCCCCGGTTTTCCCTAATCCCTTTATAAATGTTTCTTTGCTCACCTCCAACAGCACGTCAAGATTAAAAAACCATTGTCTCCATTCACTCCTATCAAAAACGCTCACGCATCCGCTGAATCCAAGCCCCTCGCAACAAAATCCTTTAAACCCCCCCCAATTTTCTGGGACCCCTACCCCCCCTTCCCCCACTAAAAAAAAAAAAAATATTTTTTTTTTTTTTTTATTCCAACCACCCAACAACCCCCTCATGGAAAAGGGGAAAACCCCACCCCCCCAATTCCCAACTCGTTCCTGAATTTTTACCCCAAATTTCCCTCAACATACACCCCCCCCGGGCCTTCTCCTCCGAAATTTCATCCCCACCTTCCACCCTAAAAATTTGGGGAAAAACTTTCTAAACCCCCCGCCTCAAGGGAAAAACTTTGTCCCCACACCCCTAAGGCACCATCCTTTTTTTCCCCCTCACAATCTTATTTCCCTCACTTCTAGCCCTCCGCACCGCCCTCCCAAATATCTGAATACTTTTCCCTCCTCCTATACTTCCCCCAACTAACAACTTTCATCACAATTTTGGGGATCCCATAACCTTACTCTTCCTGTATTCACCTTTAATTTTCTTCTTTGGCACACCCTCCCAAAATTCACCA